TGAGCTTCTATCGTAAAGGAATTCGCAAGTTACTTTTTTGCCGAAAGATAGCAAAAGGTCGTTGATGCAAACGGAGAATATTTCGCCGAGTAATATTTTTTTGTTTGTTTTTGAATAAAGATTGAATTTTACAAAAAAAAGCTCAGAACTTTTTTGTACACCTAATATGTATCTTTGTATCACCATTAAAAAGTCTTTCTATTCTAACCCAAGTGGTAGTTTTAATCCTACTTAAAAAACAATTATATTACAAAATAGCCATATCTAATTTATGTTACATGTAACAAAATTAAACAATCAAATTTATATCACAGTATAGTATTTCCATTGAAGAATCTTCCTAGTCTAACTCTTCTAGTGATAATAGCTTTTAATTCGTCTTTAAATAAATAAAAATTTATTTTTAAATTGCCATACTTAACACAACCCAATTGATATCATTTGTATAATCAACAACTGACCCTATGTTATGTGAATATTATAAGTGATACACCTAGTATAAAAATTATTTAAATAATTCTTCATAAAAAAATAGAAATAAAATCTAAGTACATACCTTTGCACTTAAGAGTTTTTCTATTTAAACTCATTATGTTATATCACGATCTTATAAAATTCAAATAGTATCTAATAATACTCAATCCTAATATATCATTTATATAAAAGATTTCATATCAAAAAAGTGGAGCCAAGTTATTCCCCTTGAAAGTTAAATGTACAATTGCTTTTAAAAAATGTAAATCAATCAATGATTCATAGCTTTGTTGTATACATTATTTCCCATTAAAATTTTCTTATTCTAAAACCCAAGTGATAGTAACTTTAATTTTTTTTTTAATAATGATATCATGTACATTTAACTTTCAAGGTAATGGAACTATACTTTTGATATCAAATCTTTTATATAAATAATATTAGTTAAATTAGCATTTTAAAGTTAAAAAGCAATTTTATATATTTTATATATATATTATATATTTTATGTTATATATATATTTTATATATATTTTATATATTTTATCATAATTTTGAAAAAGAATTAAAATCGCTATTACTTGGGTTTTAGAATAAGAAGATTTCAATGAGAATGCAAAGATATGAATCATTGATTGATTTACATTTTTTAAAAACAATTATACATTTAACTTTCGAAGTAATGGGACTATATCTTGGTGCCACTTTTTTGATATCAGATCTTGAATCTAAAAGCGCATCTTGACACTTGTATACTTGACGCTTTTTTTCTATAGTACGCACAGAATAAATAGGATGGAGAACGAGCGAAATAGCATACTTGCTCTTTTTCCACATGTCCGATTGGCGATCGACGATGTCGACGATGTTAAGTTTCGCGGCGAGTTTGACAATTGCTGATAGTTCGTTTCGAAGTGTAAGTGATGTTTATGCGTCATCTATTATCTATTATCTATCGCGTAATCTATTATCTTATAAGTAAGTTCTAAGAAGCAATATGAGTACTATCATTTTGAATGCATGTATTTTTCATTGTATTGTACTTTTATGTATGTATATGTTTGTGCTTTTTAATTTTTAACATTTTTCCTTAATTTACTTAAAATTTATTGAAATATTTCAGGATATTGCTTTACAATTTTTTTCTAAATGTCTTAAAAATGTATAATACATGTAATTTTAGTACAAGTGCAATATGTTTTTTACATTTTTATTAATACAATTTCATTGAAAAGATAACTCAGTTTTATTAATTTCATAAAAATAAAATAAAAATTAAACGACTACAAAGACGATTACAGTTATGAACAATAGAAAACTAAGTTAAATGTTATATGTAAAACATATATTTTTTATATAAAGCGGTAATATTTATATATCTTTATATTCATCTTAAGTCATAATTTTAATTTCACCATTAATTTAGAGTTTCACTCATATACACATTCAATGCATTTGGCAGGCAATACTTCAAATTATTATATCATTAAATTTGATGTATTAAGTCTTTTCAGGGCATCGCTTATGTCTCTTCTAAATATGTTTTTCCTAAGTATTGATAAATTTTGCATAAACCTGTAAGAATAAGAGAAAAAGACGTTAAAATATTTAGAAGAAAAGAAATCATAAATTAGGGCACATATTATAATTTTTTATACCTATTTCTCTTCTTTGTAAATAAATTTTTTCAATCTTGCTAATTTAATGTTACAAACTATTAAGTCCGTTTATTAAATACAGTTATTAACTTTTAATCAATATTTTTTCTTAATTTACTTAAAATTTATTGAAACATTTCAGGATGTTGCTGTACAAGATGCCTGCCCGGTAAGCAGGAGATCCAGGTTCGATTCCTGGCTGAGGTGATATTTTTTGCAAAATAATTACGAGTTTTCACGAGTAGTTCGTAATCCCGCCGTGACGCACACCCTCCCTTCTTATTTTTTTTCTGAATATACTGAAAATATGTGATATGTGTAATTTTGGTACAAGTACAATATGTTTTTTTATACTTTTATTAATACAGTTTTATAGAGTTTTTATAGAGGAGATGATTCAGTTTTAGTAATAATTATTAAATATATCTTTTTGATATATTGTTTAAATAAATATATCATAATATGATCAAGAGTCGCACAACAATCTGTACCATAGTATCTGAACACTTGTAGCTTTGATTTTTCGAAAAAAGCATAAATGCGTACGTAAAGGACAATAAAATGAAAATTACATACATTTAAAATGACACTATTTATATTGCTTTTTACAACTTACCTGCAAAATAATAGACACAAACATGAGTCAATTACACTCCGAAACAAATTATCACGAACTGTCAAACCCATTGCGAAACTCAACATCGTTGGCAGCCAATTGGACGTGCGAAAAAAGAGCAAGCATACTATCTCGCTCACTCTTTCGTTTTCTACTTTCTTACTCTCGTTATGTGTATACATCACTGCGGAGACTGTGGAATCTTAAATTTGATAGAGACTTTTTAATAATTATTCAATCAGAATCGTGACATAAAGAGACTGTAGTTAGAAATATATTTTCCTATTTTTTGCAAAACATATTATATTTTGTTCGTCTAATAATTCATTGGATCTTACAGTGATCCTGACTTATCAGTCTGATGATTCGCTATATTGATAAGATTAATAATGATAAATATACGCTTATCAAAAGGGACATATTAGCAATAATCTAGATTATAATTCGAAGCACAACATGTTACGAAATATATACTTATATCTTATTATTCTAATATAAATTATTGCTAATATAGCGTTTCAATGTGCGTATTTATCACATTAGATCACATTAGATCTTATCGACCCTGCGGATAAATCAGGTCGATAAATCAGAGGCACTATAAGACTTAGCGAATCATTGATGAGCAGTATACATTGGACTAACTTGTGCTCAGTAGCGCCTCTCTAGCGGCAGAAATTACCATACAAAAGCGACGATAATGATAATGACAACGTTTTCTAAAGTAAGAATTTTCCAATCGAACTTTGCGTAGCAATATCTCCGCTCGAAGGGCACGTAGCAAAAAAATACTTTTATTATGCAAATTGAACTCAAGCTACTGATCAAGCCTATTTAGAACTTGATCGGTTTAATAGTTATTGAAATCCGATAATAATTTCGAATGCTTGCATTTTGCCGATTCGCGTAAAGATTCACACGATAGTGTTCTCTGTTGACTTGATACCTGGGACACTACCGTGTCTCCTGATTTTAACTTTGCATTGCGATATCTTTGTTTGTATGACAGAGAGAAAATTAAAAACACTTATTATTTAATTTGATCTTTCACTGTCGATTGAGCCTAATTAGAACTCAATCAGTTCAGCCATTGCTGAAATATAAAAATGTAGACTAGTTTCATATCTGGATTTGTATATAGCCACGAGCGTCTCGCTGCCATTTATGCGACTTCGCTGCGCGTGAACTTGGCGATGAGGCATGCATTAAACATGTCTCTATATATACACACGCGCGCGTGTATGTGTATATGCAGATGTGTTTTAAGCACTCGTCATCCTATGCAACAAACGATCACAGCGAATCCACACTAATTGCCTATATCGGATGATGAATTGTGTCATCCTTGTCTGTCTTCTATGTTTCGTAATTTACAAATTATTTCTTCTTACATTTTAAAATCTAAGCTTTAGGATAAAATTTTTGAAAATTCATATCAGAATTAAATCAAGAAAATGACATTTCAATGACAAATGATTATTTTAAATTTTATATATGTAGAAAATGAAATAGAAATTTGCATTATTATTGTATTTAATAAATTATTTAATTATTTAATTATTTAATAATTATGTAAATATTCAATCAGTTGTATATGATAACTGATATATATTTTATAATTTCCGGCCTTCCAGCATATTCTTATCTCTATTAATGCGTTTCTGCAAAGTCCCGTTTTAATCATTGTATTAATTGTTGTGGCATTTAATATAAATCATATTGGATTCTCAAATTAATACTGATAAAATATTTTTTTAATTATTTTGAATCCAGATCGATAATGTCATAATATTTTAATATATTATAATTGACAATGTAAATAACTGTGTAAGCTTCAAAGAATAAATTATCTTCTTTAGAAGAAAACTAAGACAATATGTTTGAAAAATATCTTTAAAATTTTACCAAAAAATATCTTAGAGATATTTATAATATATGATTCGTGGATCATGATGATATTTTCTCAGCAAACAATAAATACTAAACAATAAATAAAAAAAAAGAGAGAAATATTACGTTATTACATACATTAATAACATTAGCTCTTATTTTACTTCTTATTTATTATGTAAATTTAAAAAGCTTCTATTTTTACTTTTACATAATGTGAGAGGATTTACGTTATTTCTCTATTTAAATGGTAGTCTTTTAATATTTGTTTGTAGTAATTGATTGTAGTAATAAATGTTTTATACAGTTATATTTATATTGAATTATAACATTATTTATGTTTTTTCTTTATATTTATTTCAGAATATAATGCAGATGAAAGTAGACTCTTTGACTGCAACAGAAGATACTGGATATGAAACGTAAGCTGCATTTATTTATATTGTTAATTTGTCAATATAAACTGATGATTCATGTTAGAAATGTTTACTTAATATAGAATATATAATCATATCGATGATTTTTACCAACAAATCGCAGAGCGAAAAGATAAGACTCAAATCAAACAAATTTTTTACAATTAAAAATCCGTTCACTTTTTGAATAATTGCAAAATTGTTTCATGTTTTTCTTTTTTAATAATTATTTTCTACAAATCTTTAAATATACAATTACTATAGAATAACAATAAAAAGACGTTTTCATTAATTGCTTCTTTAAATTTTTATTAAATATTATTATTTACATATTATTATTATATAAATTACTTAAGCAGATGCTGGACTGACGAATGAACTCCAACAAGAAGTTTACACATATGCACATTTAAATCAGGCGACACGGTAGTGTCTCGGATGTTAAGTCAACCGAATGCTACCGTGTGATTTTACGCGAGTCGGTGAGATGCGAGTACCCAAAACTATCGAATCTCAATAACCGATAAACTGATCAATTTCTAAGTATGCTCAATATCGATAGCTTGAGTTTGACTTGTATAATAAAAGTATTTTTATTTTTCTGTTACGCGCCCTACGGAGATATTTCTATGCAAAGTCCGATTTGAAAATTTTTACTTTAAGAAACGTCATCGTCGTCGTCTTCCATGTACAATTACAATTCCTGTCGCGAGAGGCGCTGATTCACTGGTTCGCTTACAGTGACCCTGATTATCGGTCTGATTTATCCGCAGGGTCAACTTTTGTACTGATAGTTTACACTGTTCACGTATATTTTCTTTATATCTTTGTACATACTGAACTAATCTATTAACATATTCAGTCGATAACATATTCAATTTATTGAATATTGTTTAGGAATAGGATAAATGAAATTCGCAGATTCTTTATATTTGTCTCGCGGATCCTGTTACACGTTCGAGCTAAGTGTGCATTACGCGTACCTAGCATAGGATACACGCAGTAAACACATGCTCCGTGGAATTCGCGACGTAGCTCACCTCTACGATCCTCGAAATTAGAACGAGGGAACATTGTTCGTCGCGCACGACTCGCGTTCGCTTCTTTCTCCCGATTGACACAGATCGCTAGATAGTTCGATAGCGTTTCCGTTCCAGCATCGCCTTTATCGTCGTCTCATATTCCGAACGAAATTAGTGATCGTTGCCGCATTTGCCGTGAGAAGATTTCCGATTTCGTTGCCATATTCTCGAAGATTTCCATTGATTAATGCGAAAAAATATCCGTAGTGCGCGAACCGCCTTATATTTCGACAGCTGAAACTATCGAAAGCCATACCGCTCTCCTCGATTTTTAATTGTGTGTATGGTGAATAAATCATATTTTTGCAAAGACAACGGAATTGTTTGATACCCGATCTTTCCGCCTTGGTACACGGTTTCTTCATATAAGGTGGAATTACCGCGAACAAATATTGATTGAAACATATTCAATTGATTGATTGAATTTTACACTGTTCACGTATATCTTTATACTGAACTAATCTATTTACACATTCAGTCGATAACATATTCAATTGATAATATCATGAAATAGCAACATGATTACGGAAGAAGACATGTAAGTATATTCATCCTAACATTTTATATAATTATAATAAATAAATTTATATAATTATAATAATATAAAATGAAAATATTAATTTTTAATCATTTCTAATTTCAGAGAGATGAGTGACGAGATTAATCAGATCGTTGTTAACGACACAACAGAAATCTTGAAGGCGTAAATTAAAAAATTAAAAGAAGAGCTAAATAAAAAAATTAATCGCTCCTCAGAATCTCCAAAGGATTCGTCTCAGCCGGGATCACCATCTAACCATCTGGGCCATCAGAGTCGCCGATACCGCAGCCGCTGATGTCGCAGCCGCCGATATTGCAGCCAGATAGAAAAATACGTAAATAAAACATTAATATATATAACACCCATGACACTACAATCTTCTCTTTCATGATTAACATTATTTAATATTATATTAATTAATTAATATTATATTAAATAATAATATAATTATTTTTTAATTGAATTAATTTAATTGAAATTTTTAATAATATTATTTAATAAATATTAGAGCACGACGCTGGCAGAAAAGTCGGCGCGCACGCGGCGGACGAGGAAGACGTGACGGAAGTGGCGGACGAGGAGGATGTAGCGGACGAGGAGGACTTGGCAGGCGTGGAACAAGCAGAAGACACTTTACAAAATATATATTTATAAATTATTAATTAATTAATGTATTCTTTTGTGTTGTTTCAATAAAAATCTTATAATTAAATTCCGCAAATTTTTTATTAAAAAATGCGGAATTCGAATCTGGAATTCGATAAAGACTTTTTATTAATGATCAGTCAATCAGAATCGTGACATAAAGAGCAGAAATTGTACTTATTGATACATTAACTAATTTTACACGAAACATATTGTAAAAAGAAATCTTGGAAAATATCTTTGAAAATTCTTCGAATCTAGAAACCTTTACTAATTGTTGTACCCCGAATGGGCTTCAACGTTAATATTCGGGATAGTCGGATTCGTTAAGCATAAGCAGTTAAAACTCCGAGCAGGATCAAAGGAACATAGGAATCCTCGTGAAACACGGACACCACGGACACGAATCATCACTGACACACACTTTCTTTAATTTAATTGATTTATTTTAACAAGTGCACAAATACTTGATATTATACTATATATTTACTTGATATTATATTTTACACACGTTTACGCGTTGTCGGGCGGCTCGGCGCGTCTTGCGTCATTCTGGCGGCCGAGTGTGACACCTGAGCTGCTGATAATACGGTTCGCGTGAACTTCGCGACGGAATTCCGCATGACTTATAATTTTGACTCTCTCATTCCGCTTTGTGTAACCGATTATATAGATTGATCGGTGCCCGATCAGCATTTCGATCAATTACGTCGATTGATCAATATCACGCTCGGTTCGATCATCAAATTTAGGAATTTGCTGATAGGCTTTTCGCAATATTCTCGCGTGATGCATTTCTGCGGTCTTTCGAAAGACTGATCGCAATTTCGGCGATCACATTTGTGTCGTCTTTCGAAAGATTTTTTCTGAAATTCATGCGGACTACTTTTTGTTGCCATGCGAACTACTTTTATTATTAGATGTAGATCTGGCTACAACATTCCCCCCCCCCCGTTAGTAAAAGAAGACGGAGGTACGAAGTTTTCGCTTTTACAAAAATTTCATCCCGATACATTTTTTGTTACAATTGTTTGTTTAGAATCACGTACTCTCGCTTCTTCTAACGGCGCGATCTATACGTAGTTCACTATTCCTACTTAATTCTAGTATTTGTTTAGTAGTGTTCTGTTGTTTCTTATTTTTTATTACAATTATTATTGTTATGATGGCGATGGTTATTATTAATGTGCTGCTTATGAATATAGAATATATAATACAAAGTGTTTTTGTAAAAAGGGTGATATCTCGTTAGTGTTTATTTCATTATTCATTTTGTTTAATTTCTTTGTTAGTTGTATCAGGTCTGTTGGATCTTATACTACTTTTAATTTAATTTTTTCTGTTTTGTTCGCTTTGAAAGTTTCGCTCAGTACGGTAATATTATAATCTGGTAGATAAGTTTTTATTTCTTTTCCATGGTTGGTAATTTTTTATTTTATTATCACGTCTGTTGTAACTATCTTACAATTATTTGATAATATTATTTTTCCCGTATTTGTAATAATTTTTCGCATTTCTTTATTATTTTTACATGAGATTGTAATAGTTTGTTCGCTGGTATTGAATATAATCAAGAGCGTGAATTACTTAAGGCTATCCATATGCTATTTTTTATTGATATATATTTAATTTTACAATTTTTATATCGGTTATCGATGTCAATATATCTATTTCGCATAGTGGGTCGGTCTTAACATTGCTAATTGGAAAGATTTGTTCGCACAAATAATTTGCATTTATTTCTTTACATTGCCTTAATTTTTCGTGCGTCAGTCTTGCGTACGTGTGTCTATCAGTATCTAAGGCTATCAGTGGATTGTTTATTTCTATTAATGCGGACATGTTTTGCTTGTGTGGTACCGGTAGCGGTATTATGTTTAGTATTTCGTATGTCGGAAGTGAAATTAGCGGGAAATGTGGGATTGTGTAAACGTCTGTTTTGTCGCAGTGTGCGCTCATCGTTGTTACTTTTTCTATCGTAGTCCAATCCTCTTCCTTTATTTTAAATAGGAAATATAATCCTTGAGGTATTTGTGTGGTAATCTGATGCGAGATCCAATGTCGTGAAGTACTTCGCGTTGTCCAGCTAGTCAAGTATATTCGTTATGTTGGGCAACGGGAATGAATCTCCGATTGTGAGATCATTTAATTTTCTGAAATCTACTACAATTCGTAATTTTGTTTTTCCTGAAGCGTCTGTTTTTTTCGGCACGACTAATAGTGGTGCGTTCCATTGGCTGACGCTCGGTCTTATAATTTCCTGCATTAGCATTTCTTGAATTTATTTGTTTATCTCGTCTTTATGTTTTTCAAGTAAACGGTAAGGTCGTACGTTTACTGGTAACGATACGAATCTGTTCGTATCGTTACTTCGTGCTTAATTTTTGTTGTGCACGTTAATGTGTCTCCTTCTAAATGAAACGTCATTATACTCGTGACATAATTCTAATACCGATTTTCGTTCTTCTGTATTTAAATGTTCTGTGTGTAAGGAATTGTTTATTTGCTCTTCTCGAGAGATTAATTTTGTATTTTTATTTTTTCTTTGTATTGTGTTCACAGATTCTTGTGTTATTTTTTTTTGTATTTATCTCTTCTAATATTACTTGCGGTACCTGAACGATTTTTTCTTCTTCAGTAATATTTATTATGCTGATTGGACATGTGTAATTTCGCGATTCGACTAGGCAACATCCAATAAAAATTCCAAGTATCATTTCCTCTGGTTTCGTCAATCCGATTATATGTTTTGATTAGTCATGACTTGCACAATTGTTTCACTGCGCGGCACTAAAGTTACGCGCCTGTATGGGTAAAGTTTGAAATTCGTATTTTTAAATTGCACAGAATTTGTTTTTGAATTGAACGCAGTTATATATTGCCAAATGAAATCTGTTCCTAGGATCGCATCATATTCCATTGGCGCGTTATCTCGCACTATGTATACGGGATGTCGTATTTTTTTTCGCGATAATTGAACGTAATATGTGTTTTGCCCAATGTTATTATCTCATGTCCTGTTATGCCTGTTAGCTTTTTAGTTTTTTCCTCGTAGATTAGAACGTGATCTAGTAAATCTAGTATCTGTTTTAATTTTATTATTGTTGCTGATGCGCCCGTATCAAACAAGAAATTTATTTTTCTACCTTTGGCTTCTGCAATCGTTAATGTGATCGCGTTTAGTCCAGTGTTGACGAGCGATGTTCCCTTGACATGTGTCACGCGATACTCTGACACGAGACGCGGGACGATCGGTTTACTTTCGCCGGCTTCGCTCTTTTTAAAGTTCTTCGCGGGATTTTCTCTTCGCGAATTTGAAAAAATTTTTTCGGAATTTTTGCTGTTTTCTGGTTTTCCGTTCAGTGTCCAACATTCTTGACGCAAATGTCCTATCTTTTTGCAATAGCTACACTGTTTTTCGATTGTATTTATTCGTGGTTGTCCTTCCGGCTTAGGCAGGGTGTATCTATTTATGAAACGGTTAGTCCTGCAATCGCGCCCATAATGACCGATTTTTCCGTATTTCTCGCAACGCGGACTTGGTAGATGCGCTTTAAATATTGGTCAGTTTCGATAGGTTTGCGTTCGAGTGCTAGGTCCTCGCGTTTTTTCTTCCACGATTGCTCCTGCGATCGCTCCTGTGTTGTTTGATATCGCTGCGATCGTACAATCAATTTAATCTCTTCGTGTAATCCGTTCTGATAATTGTAAAGTACCTGCTCTTTTATATTTTCTAAGATCGCGCGTTGCTGCTCGACTGTATGGCTTTTGCCTTCTTTCATGGATTCGTATAATTCCATGGCTATATTGTCTGTTCGTTTATCGAATTCTTGCGCGCTCTCGTTTGGTTTTTGTTTGAGCAAGTTAAACTCAAGTTGCAAATGTGTGGTGCTTCGTTTGCTCAAATATTCCTTTTCCAATTCTCGTTTTAATTGTTCGAAATTTACTATATGTCGCGTACGGAAATCCATCATCGCCTTGCCTTTGAATTTGGTGCAAAGGATGGTTTCTAATAAAGAGTGTTCATTCGCAGGGTGTATATTTTTTATCGCAAACGTGCTTGTGTTTAGAAATTCGTACACGCATCCTCACGACGTACCGTCGATTTCTGGGATCATGTTACGCGCGTCTTTCAATGTTAGAAATGCCAGTGCGTTTCCTGATTGGTTTCGTATGTCCTGATATCGTCCGTAAATTAAATTTAATGAATGCGGCAGAAAATCTTGCGATACTCTCGTTCGTTCACCCATAGGTAATTGTGCCTGTCGGCTTAATCCGTTGACTTGTACACGGAGATCGCGTATTTCATCCATTAATTCACGAAGCATGATTATGATGATTATCGGACTGTGCGTCAATTGTGACGCGGCGGTTTGTTCGATTTTCTTGCGGTCCATGTCTATCGACTGAATGCCGTAGTTGCAAAATTTCGTTGTCAATTTCGTTCGGTTGTTCGACGGGTGAATGAGCCATTTCGTTTATTAGTGATTGGTATATGTTAGAAGAGTTAAATATACTTCCGTCTCGTAAATTTGTTTGTGTGTGTTTGCGTGCTTGTATGTGTCAATGTGGCAGTCAGTGTCGTTTAATGCGAGCAAGCTATAATCTTTTTCGTCGTATGGAAATTCGCGCTCGGTTATGACATGAACGTCTTCGTCACTATCGTATCGTAATACACGGCGCACGTTATCGTGTATTTCTTTTAACGCGTTTCTCGTGGTATTTATCGCGGAGATAGTGTGCGGAAATTCTACGGGATTGTTTATTGGCCGCGATTTTGGTCAAGTCGCATACGCTAGGCTGTCCTTTGCTGCGGACATTCGCTTTACAAAATGTGATTTTTCTGATTTACATTAGAAGATAGATCGAATACGCTCGCATGGTTGTGCTGGCGTGTCAGTTGTACGTAGTAGTGCGTATCGGTGA